TAACTAGGAATAATTATCTTAATATATTATATTTTAATTATGGGAGTAATTATCTCCCTAATTAAAATGTGACTTATTCCCAAAGAAAGAGGGAATATTCTGGGTTTTCTGCTCCTATAAATAGGAGACTACCCAGACCCTCTAAACACACCTCAGAAGAGCAGAAACACGAGAGAGAGTGAATTCATAGAGCTCCGGTTTTTCGCACAAAACCGATGAGCAAGAAAACTAGAATGGTTGTTTTATCCTGGAGGCGACCGGCTGATAGCCTGCTGTGCGCAATACGAGGCAGTGCCGCGAACGTCTTAAAAAGAGCGACCTAGTCCGCGACTCAGCCAGATCGGTAACCCTAATTTTTATGTTCGGTTTCTAACAATTTTAAGACGTTTGATTGCTGTCGTATAAACCGAACAGGATATCGATTTGTTCTCGACCGATTATGGCGTTCATGGTCGCTCTATTCATCGGATCTATTTCTTCCGTCTGCCCTTTCGGTGGAACCGACTGCTTTTGAGAGCTAAGTGGACGATTATGAATTCCTTTTGTTTGTTAATTGTCCGCTTTTGATTCGGTTTTAACTAATACTTCCGTCTGAGTAATGGATACTTTAGCACCATAGAGAGAAAGGGCAGGATACTTAGACGGAGAAGGAGCAAAGCTTGGATTAATTGCAGCGACTCAATTTCTATCTTAGGGTTTTGCTTGTGAGCTAATTAATTCATGTCCATGCAAATGAATCGTAAGCCTAGATGAAAATTCCTTCCTAATTCCATAGTGGAAGAAGCAGCACGTGATGAAGCTTGTTGGACTCCATGGATGAGTTACACTGGACAAGTGGCGGGTTGCATTTGTGATTGGAGGATAGAAAAGAAGGGAGTGATTCTGTGCCCTTCTCAATATAATTCCGCGAGTGTTTTTGTGCACTGATTCAATTGTCCATTAATCATTCCTCTGCAAATTGGAATTGACTGTTTTTTCCACAAGTACCACCAGGCTCGAGATTTATTTTATGCCCTCAATTTTTTGCGGCAAATGGTGTGCCACGGGAAAAGTACATGTCAAGTGGTATACTGCTGCTTTTATTGTTGCAGCTGCTTACCTTACAACTTGTTTTCCTTGAAGCTGATTCGAGCAAAGAGAAAGAAGTTATGGATTAATCACATGCATTGTGGAAGGGAACTACGTCCAAGACGAAGGGCAAAGTTTCGAATAGAATGAATTGAAACAAAGCTTTGGGGGACGAAAGAAGTGGCATTGGACCGAATAGAAGGCGGCTGTGAAAGAAGCTAACTGCTTGTGTTCTCAAACCCTAAGCCTATTTCACTATGTTTTTGTTCTCGAACATGAAAAGGGTGGAATCTAATACCCTGGGTGATTACATATCCACCGAGAGGCACAATTCGGACCTTCCTACCAGGCCATTATTCTATCAATGGCCTTGTTGATTTGTTGGTCCAATTCATGCTATGGGCTGGGAGGCTAAGGATGTTGTTGCTACTGGCCGGTGGAATAAATGGAAGTGGAACAGAGCATGGCCAGGTTTGGGTTGTTTGTGAACGACTTTGGGCTATTGCGACAAATCAAGGCCCAATTCGTATGCATGGCCAACATGGAAGCTGTATGTACCAGGTATTTGTGGTTAGTTCATAAAGCAAGGACTTCTTGAAAAGAGGTATTCCTAACTTTTCACTTGAGTCATTAATAAATGACAAATTATAATCTATGTCATATGGATATATGCATGGAATTGAGAATCCGTGTGAATGCTAGACAGGAATACTAGAACTGATGCATGATAATGGTACATTGAGATGTCATGTTTGATGATTTGATTACAATTTTATGTACATTCACTACAAAAAAAACCAGCTATAGTGACATTTTTTTAAAAACAGTTTAAAAAAATGTCAGTAAAACCATTCACTTTGAAGGTTTTTGTGACATTTATGGTAAGTCTCAATATAATATATTTATTGTGACATTTAATTTTGACATCTTCGATTGTCATAGTAATAAATATGTTTTTCTGTCATTTAGAAAAGTGTCACTAAAAGAGTGTCAAAATAGAGAAGTATTTGTGACATAAGTTGGTAACATAACTAAATGTCACAGTAGTTTAGTTGTTTGTCTGACATTTAGAGAAATGTCACGAGTGAATGTTAGTATAGCATATATATTGTGACATTTAACGTTGACATCTTCCATTGTCACGGCAATTAACACGTTTTCTGTCATTTAGAAAAGTGTCACTAAAAAAGTGTCAAAATATTAAAGTATTGCTGACATAAGTTGGTCACATAACCAAACGTCACAATAGCTTAGTTGCTTGTCTGACATTTAGAGAACTGTCATGAGCAAAGTGTCAGTATAGCATATATATTGTGACATTTAATGTTGACATCTTAAATTGTCACAACAATAAACACGTTTTTCTGTCATTTAGAGAAATGTCAACTAAAAAGTGTCAAAATAAAGAAGTATTTGTGATATAAGCTAGTCACATAACTAAATGTCACAATAGCTTAGTTGCTTGTCTGACATTTAGAGAAGTGTCGCTAGTGAAGTGTCAGCATAACATATAGATTGTGACATTTAACGGTGACATCTACAAGTGTTGCTTGTCTGACATTTAGATAAATGTCACGAGCGAAGTATCATTATATAATTAATAAGGATGATATTGAAAAAAAATGATACAGATTCTTCTATATAATTAATATCTTCTTTTCCATGGAAAAAAATCAAAATGGTTGTAATTGTTTCACCCCTATTCACGACAAGGTTATTTGATTTGATTCAAATTGTTTGTTTGATTAGTTCACGGTCCACTCAAAATTTAATTGAATGGTACCCTATATAGTTTGATTCATTGTTGATCCTGTAAATTATCTTAAATATGAAAGAAATTTCTATCAAAATTGCATTTGAATCGGTCAAAGCGAACTAATAAACTTGCTTCTTTGTGATTTGAACCCTCCATTTTTATTTACTTTTGGTTCGATCACATATTCTAATTTTTTCTCGTTCAAAACCAAAATGATGGATAATGATAATCACTACTTGTTATGCCATAAAACTGCACACTAAATTGCTACCAAAGTTTCCAACTGCATGGAGAAACGAACTGAATACATGTGGAGTATTTGAGGAAGGAGCTATTGGGCTTTCTATCAATGACTGAATTCAATTCATACCTTAACTTGAACCAAATGCTGCCAAAGTATAAATTTTTTCATCAAGTCTCTTTTGCTCTCAAAGAAAATACTTCAGAAGAGATTGGATTTACCAAAGTTACAAACACAAGTGCAAATTTTTGCCCAATACCTAGGTGATTATAATCATGATTCAATTTCTAATATGCATTAATACAAATGCCAAAAGTAGGAACTTGTCATCATGCGTAATGCCATGGCGGCTGCTACGAGATTACAAAATATTACAGGTTATTCATTTACTTCATTGTAGTTACACCCCCCAAAATGCCCAACAAAAGTCTTGACCAACAAAGAGAGGACAAGATGTGGTCGTTACTTGCATCCTTGATCCAACAAGAGAGATAACGAGACTGCTACTCTACCACCATCTCAACTTCCTTGAACCTTTGTGCAGGCCCTTACCTGCAAGCGATGCAAATCCAGGGCAAAACCTTGATTTCTCAGAATAAGAACTTACTGAAAGGGACAGTAGAACTCAGTATTCAAAGACAGAATTGGGCAAACCTTCTTTATGGGTCTGAAAAGCCTGAACATGGAGAACTTTCCTCCCTATTGAAGCTATTAACAAGTTGAATGCCAAAATCCTTAACAGATGAATACTTCTGAAACAGACAGAGCACCCAGTAGCAACAAAGCAAGAATAAGGATGAGTATAGGAAGAACTAATCTCATAGAGCTTATAGAAACTGCATCAAGCAGTTTAGCAAAAAAATTCTCAATCCTCCAACCTATTATCTACTTCCATGGGCAATAAGATAATCTTCGGTACCATAAACATCATGTGAATTAAAGAAACCAGAGTGCGACTCACCAGTTCTTAAGCACTCAGGATGGCGGGGAGACTTCTTTTATGGTGCAGGTCTTTCACCTTGACTGAGGTCCACGATTCCTTCGGGCCAAAGCAAGATAGCCCCAAATTCTCATTGCAACCTCCATCAAAAAAAAAAAAAGAAGAAGGAAAAATTAGATTCGAAACATATGAAACCAGACATTCAAGATTAACTTTATAAAAGAAAACTGCACCCACTAAGAACATGATATCCTTCCTTCATCAGTGCAAGAATTCTTGATACAGAGGTACACTAAACATCATTTTCGCAGATTCCTGTCTATCTCTCTTATAAAAACCAAACAGGAAATAGCGTCCAAGCCTCCGAGAAATAAATTGCTTCCAAGGATTCAAACTGAAGAGGGCTATTAACGAACATGGAACCAACAGTTAAACACAGTGCTCACAAAAATTTCATTAGTTGTAAATAGAAGACGAAAGAACAAGGAGGGAGCGGCTCTAGAGCTCTACCTCCAGTAGCGGGCTCTATTGTATTCTCCAGAGCTCTCCTTCGCCGCCAAGAAATTAAAAATATTGCTCACGCCCACTGGTCCATCCGTATCGTCTCTGGCGCAGATCTATAGCTTCCAAATACACAGGGATTTGCTTCTCTTCTCTTGATTTCTCTTTCTTTTTCTGTTTTAGTTTAGGTGATTTCTCGTGCCGCTCCAGTTACGTTGCTCTATGCGGCGGATAAGGGAGGTGAAGCGCCAATCAAAGTGCAGAAAAGAAATTAAGAGACCCACAAGGTTTCCCGCCGGTTTCTTTCTTTCCTATTTTCCAATGGGCCGGGTTCCGTTACCCGCAATGCCAATAAATTAAAGTTATTTATTTATTATTTATTGATCAAAGCTTGTCCACGAAACTTTGAACTTAGGTAACCCAGTTCGCTGAGTGGGCCTCCACGATCCCGCTTCGGCGCATGGAAATCGCCAATCGCCTGCAATTCGGGGCAAATTCGCGAACTATTTTTATGGGAGCGCGGATGCAGAATATAAGAAGAGATATCTTCCCATCTTTCTCTGCTACCTTGAAGGCTTGATCGGCAAAGGGGAATTTGTTCTTATCCGACTGAGGAGGAGGGCGAGGTAGCAGTAATGTTTCTTGATGAGGTCTGCGTCGTCAGTGCCGGTGGGATCAAACTGAAGAATTGAGTACCAGTTGTCGTGGTTTTCCTTCATCTTCTCGCCGGAGATAGCCGACTTCGGTGATGGCCAAAATCTTGTCGGAGCCGTCGAAGAGGGGATCGATCTCCTGAGCTATGACGGTCGTAGCGAAATCCTTGATCTGATGGAATCCCCCGACAGGAGGAGCTAGCTTCTGGGCGAATCCGAGCATTCGTTCCGCTTCGGCTCTGTTCAGAGATCCACCGATGGAAATATTTCTTTTTCGTTTTGGGGCTAGTTGCCGCTTGGTGCCCATGCGGACAATGACTAATGAGTAACTCTTATTTTAGTTTTTTCTTTTACATTTTGTTTCATAAACACATTTGTCTTTTTTAATTGATTAAATTTTTTAGTTATTAAGCTACTAACCACATAATTTATATTTTTACCATAAAATATAGTTTATATTTTATGTGCTTTATTATATAATGATATTATTTTACTACTATGATATTAATTTAATAATACTATTTCAGCGCCCTCTCCACGCTTTCGATATTGAATTCTCCTTAAACAGACGCTCTCGCGCTCCCGTTCCCGCTCTCGCTCTCACTCCCGCTTCACGAATTAGTTACCTAACTTTGTACCATGCCACTGAAGTAAATAAATAAATCATGTTTTTTCTCCGGTAATTGTTGTAAGATCCGCGGTCGCTGGTTTAGGTGCAGGGTCTGACGGTCGGTCTGAGGGAAGAAAGACGGGCGCCGACATTGTGTTCTCTCCGCTAGCAGTTGAGAGCTTTTTTTTTGATTTTACACCTATCTTAGATTAACATATGATTTTTCTCAAATCATTAAAGATGATCGCTTCAATTTAAGGATATTATTAATTGACTTGTCAATGCTAATTCATCGATTTATTTTCGAGAACCCCAGTAAAGCCAGGGGAGGAGTCACACTATGGGGTCCCCGAGAATTTTGAAACTAACGTATAAATTGTTTACAATTTTGGGGAAATTAGGTATAAATAAAGTACCATGTATACCAAAGGTTTCATATGGTAACACAATGAGTTATGTATCTTGACCGAATGGTATAGAAGGTAACTAGGTGGGGGCAGGGTTCGGATCTCTGTAGATTACCTTTTTTTTTTAATTGTATAGTTCTCATATTTTAGTTTAATTTTTGTTTTTAGTTTATGGTAAGGATTCATTTTTCAGTAAGGACTCTTTTAATTATATAATGAGTAAATTTTTTCTTGTAGCGGATAGTGCTTTTCAGTTATAAAAATAATGAAACATGTTAGCATTGGAATATTTATTACTTTTTTTGGTAATTAACTCCTTCATAGTCAAAATAACATGGTATTTTTTTCATCTTAAATAATATTAAATCTAATAGTCTTAAAAAGGTGGGTTGGGCAATTATAATGATTAAAAGTATTAGTTTTCTTCACTTTGACAATTTACTTTTTAGTTCATTTGTCTTTTGTGATAATACGAACAAAACAATTTTCGACCCACGAACAGCGCTGACCAATTCTCTAGTTAGTATTAACTAATAAGTAAAGAAAATGATATTTCTGGATTTGGGTTAATGGTTTTGACAAAAATTGATACAAAAATGAGGACGGAAAATGGATAAGTAAACAAATAAAAGACTTTATTTTGAGAAATCAAACGGTGCATGACTCGATGAACAATAATATAATGGGTAATTATAAATACAGTTAGCTAGTTGACTGCAAAGTGGATAGGCGAAATTAAGATGAATTTATATTAAATGTATGGGACAAGCGAGCAGCGAGACGAGTCGACTGACGGAGTGGCCGACTTGTGGATGGTTGTGGTCCATCAATGAGCAGCAGCTTCATAACCACCCGTGAAGCACCATCAACTGCATCAATTAAGCCACGATAACAGAAGATCGAAGAGCACTAGTATCACCTTAATTCTTCTTCGTCTTCTGTTACACGAACAAAGATATTATACAACAGCGTTTGTTCGTTCGGAGCAGGATCGTCACTAATTAATAATTAATAATAGTGCTAAGAGGTGGAATTATTCCCTGGCGCTTTTTCCAAGAAATGCCTCAATGACTTCCTGGAGTAATCCGGAGCCAGAAGTATCATCGGCCCAAGCAACTCCAAACGGGGGAGGAGATGGGGCAGTAGGGATCCAATTTGGCGTGAAAGATGGGGTTTCCAAGTCCACGGTATCGGCGCCTGAGAGAGCGGTTTCCTCGGCCCAATCAACTCCAACTGGGGGAGGAGATGGTGCATTAATAGGGATCCAATTTGGCGTCAGAGATGGGGTTTCCAAGTCCACAGTAGTATCGGTGCCAGAGAGAGCGGTTTCCTCGGCCCAAGCAACTCCAACCGGGGGAGGAGATGGGGCAATAGGGATCCAATTTGGCGTCAAAGATGGGGTGGCGGAGTGTTGATCGATGGGTTGTTGGCGCTGCATTCGGTTCCCGACGGAGAAGATATGTTTATCCTTTTGGTGGTTACGAAGACACTTGGACTGAGAACGTGAGGAATGGATGAAATAATCATGGTCCGGTGGATGGAAGGATCGACAGAGGATGTTGGTTTTGGCCTTACAACCATGCATGTATATAGCAGCTCGGTCATAAGCACAAGCCGCTTCTTCGGGGGTGGCGAAGGTGCCAAGCCAATACCTGCGCTTGGTAATTGGATCTCTTATCTCAGCCGCGTAAGTGCCCCATGGCCTCATCCTCACGCCACGGTAGCCCCCTCTCCCATTATTCTTTCTCCTCAAGAGAGAGCAGTTTTGGTGGATTGGATGAAATGTAGGGTGTTCCATTTCCATGGAAGTATGATCCTAACCAAGTTAGATATGATGTGGTGATTTTTTATCTTGTATCTTTGCCCCCTCGGTTTTATATGCAAAATGAGTCCGACAAGCAGTTAATTAGCTAGGGAAGTGAGCGATTGAAATTTCTGGACTAACGCCGGCTTTTCCTTTCCGGTGCAGCCCATTCCAATCAATTTATTGTCTTGAAGACATGAAAGTTAACATATGGAAATGTCGCGGTAAATGTTACCATTGGTGTCAACCATGACACTTTGGAATGTCCTGAGAAATGTCACAATATGTATTTACTATGACACTTTGATATGTCCTTAGAAATGTCACTATTGGGATCTACTGTGACAATTATGAATGTCTCGAGAAATGTCACTATTTGTATCAATCGTGACATATTAACATGTCCTTATAAATGTCACTATTGAGATGGGCTATGACATATTGAAATGTCACAAGACATGTCACTATTGGTATTAACTATAACAGTTTGATATGTCTCCAGAAATGTCACTATTTGCATCACTTACGACGCTTTAAAATGTCACAAAAGATGTTATTATGCTACGATTATAAGTGTCGCAATATGTAAAATAAACGTCACACAAAAGTGGTACTGACAATTGTAACAAATGTCACAAAAGAAGTTAGTGACACTGGATTATGTGACATTTATGTGTCATTTGTGTAAAACGTCAGTTAACACTATTGTGACATTTTTCTAACTTTTAATGACAATTTGACTGAATTTAAATTGTCACTTCAGCTGTTTTTTTTAGTGATTTGAGAAATAGAATGATTTTGTCAAAATGCGTGCATTGAAGAATATATGGGAATAGAATGGGTTAACGACCCATAGTGACGATATTATAAGAAGTACTATTGTTAGTACTAAATGAACCACTTATGCTACTCTGAAACCTTAAAGTTTCAAGAATGAGAGCAACAAGTTGAACCAGATCCACACCAAATAGAATGGTACCCTTCGTGGTAACCACAAGATTTCCACTCAATCCTCTAAGAATAACGCTATGTTTCTCAATCAAATTTGAGAAAAACTAGGTCATATGACACGAAAGTGTTAGAGCAAGTTTAACATTGTATTGTGTTGACTTGATTAAAGAAGAGGATTTTGCAATAACAATCGCTTAGGTGATGACAGAGGTTAGCCTTAATGGTAACTCTCGAGAATGGTTGCTGGATACTAGCGCCCCAAGGCATGTCTGTGATAGACGATCTAAGATGGATTCTTTTTTGGGACGTGTGTGTCCTTGTAAAGAATTAGAATATCTAATGCCACATTCCCATATTATTTTCGAACGCTTGAGAAATTTTGTATCCAAGCAAAATGACCCATTAAATATGTGGTTAGAGAATCAAATCAATAGATCTGATTTATGTTTATATGGGTAAACTTGTTGGAAAAGACAATAAATAATTTATTGCTCTTTAGAGTGCTCTGAATAATTGTCTAACTAGTTATTCGAAATAGTATGAAATGCCTAGTTGCATTATGATTGCACTGATTATTCGATATGTGGCATGCATGTGGTAGCGTTAGAGAATCTGTGACATGGTAACTAGAAGAGCATATGAGTGTGTAAGTTATTGTAAAACACATAAGCCTATGAAACGAAATACTCATTAGTTTTTGAAAACCATTGATGCCAATAGATTCAATTTATATTAAGAAATAGTGGGGGTGATATCCTGCCTACTATTAGAAATAATGGATAACTAGTGGCGGTGATGAATCTGAGTATGAACTCAGAAGAGACAAATGAACCATAAATCACGAAAGGATTTTGGTTATGAATTTGTTATTTACACCCTAAGAAAGAAAGATCCTACAAGTCTGCTAGAAGTTCGAACTTCCATAAAGATGCAGAATTGTGGGAGAATCGTCCATTATTAATGAAATGGAATTGTTGGAGTCTAATAAGACTTAAAATCTTGTAGAGTTACCTCTTGGTTGAAAAGCCTTGGGTAATATATCGATAGAATCGAACAAGATTTGACATCCTTAAGAATTACCTCTTGGCAATGAAGTCATGTGTAATAAATGGATTCTTAAAAGAAAAGTGAAACATATTGGTTTAGTTTATGAGTATAAGGATCGCCTAATAGCTAAGGCTTTAAGCGAAAAGGAAAAATTGTAAATTTTCCTGTTATCTATTCACCATATGTAGAATAACATCCATGTATGTTCTGATTGCTAGTGTTGTGCGCCAGATGGATTGTTAAACATGTTTCTGTGAATGGTGATTTAGATAGGAAAATCTACATGGGACAACCTATAGGGTTGTTATTCCTGAACATGCTTAGGGAGTCTATAGTTAGACAAATCATTCTAAGATTTGAAATAGACTCTAAGACGATGGCATGAATAAACTGGTTCTCTCTCATGGTTTTAAAAGTGAAAGTGACAAGTGCATTTTGTACAAATTTGAGAATGACACTTGCATTATGAATGACACGTCGATCTTTGGTACAAAGACTCGTGATGTCAATATTGAAAAACCATGATGGTTGAGAATTTTGAATGTGAAGGATCTGTTTGAAACAAATGTTATGCTTAGAGATCCTAATAACTAGGAAAATACAAGATGTACACCTGCATACATGTTTGATGATGCTAGTATAAATATTTAAAGAACACCTAAGACGGTGTAAGAAAGTTAGAATATACTAGCATTTACAGTCTGCGAGAGGCAGCTGATAAACATGAGATCCGATTTAGTGGGGGGTACTTGGCAGGCTTATTGATTGTCCTAGTATGAAGCATTGAAATACTATTGAAAGGGTCATGAGACACCTTAAGAACAGTAGACCTTGATATAAGTTATCAAAGATTTATGGCTGTATTGGTAGGGTATATTGATGCGGACGAGAATACCCTATAGAAGATTCCAAGGCATCCAGTGGACATGTTTTAAACATCACTGGAAGTGTTGTGTCTTGGAATTCTAAGAAGTAAACGATCCTGGCTCAATCAACTAAGAAATCAGAAATGATAGAGCTAGCAATGACTAGTAAAGAGAAAAGTTGATTGAGAGGATCATTACTATAGATTCCCTCATGGGAAAGACCGATCCCTCCGGTAGTTGATTCATTGTGATAGCACCGCAACTATTACTAAAGAAGGGAACCGATTCTAGAATGAAAAGAGACGACAAATTCGTCGTAAGCACAGTACTGTAAGGGAACTCCTAATGATAGGAGCAATGTGGGTGGATCATATAAGATTCTAACAGAATCTAGCTGATCCTTTGACGAAAGGATTATCTAGAGAGAAAATTCCAAAATACCACGAAGGTATGAGACTTATGCTTACTGAACCATGGATTACAAGTGATGGTAACCCGACCCGATAGACTGGAGATCCCAAGAAACCGGTTCAATGGGTAATAACAAGTCTTGAGTAATATTGAGAAAAGTTCATGCATAGTGAAGCATGAATCCCAAAGCCTTGGAGGTTGAGTTAAACTCTTAATGAGATCTATACTCTATGTGGAGTGAAGTACTTTACTTTGGGGGTACTTCTGATAGACTCACCTATGTGAATGTGAGAGTGGGGCCGCTCCCTATGCAACTTTGGAGGCACAAAGTTGCTAGAGCGTTCACTAAACTGGGATAACGTGCATGGCCATAAACGCACGGCCTATGAGAGAATATCACTCAATGAAAAGATCCGGTGTGCTACATTGTCTGAGATAGGGTTCAAGACTACGAGTCACCCTTATGAAATCGGAAGTGTAACCACTACGCTAAGGTTCAAATCTTCGCGATACCTTAGCTTATGCCCGATCTTATGGAACTGTTGATGCTCAGAGATAGTTTCAAACTATTCAAGTGGGGGATTGTTGGGATGAATAGCTTTGAAAAGCTATAATGAAATTCCTAATTAATTATCCAGTATTTTCCCCATAATACGAAATTAAGATGGATAATTAATAAAAGAAATATTATGGAGATAATTAGGAATAATTATCTTAATAGATTATATTTTAATTATGGGAGTAATTATCTCCCTAATTAAAATGTGACTTATTCCCAAAGAAAGAGGGAATATTCTGGGTTTTCTGCTCCTATAAATAGGAGACTACCCAGACCCTCTAAACACACCTCAGAAGAGCAGAAACACGAGAGAGAGAGTGAATTCATAGAGCTCCGGTTTTTCGCACAAAACCTATGAGCAAGAAAACTAGAATGGTTGTTTTATCCTAGAGGCGACCGGCTGATAGCCTGCTGTGCGCAATACGAGACAGTGCCGCGAACGTCTTAAAGAGAGCGACCTAGTCCGCGACTCAGCCAGATCGGTAACCCTAATTTTTCTGTTCGGTTTCTAACACTAGGTAATCGAAATCGATTGGCGACATCTTTGCCTGCAGGAAAAAAGTTAGAAACAAGACCGGGTGGTACTCAGTAGTGTGCATGGGCCAAAACACTTGCAAGATTCACGTAGGCCTCCATCAGAAGCTCTCACCTGTATCAGCGCCCATAGGGCCCATAATAAGTGTGAAGCCAACATGAAGGTGTTCGACTCTACGTACAGCACTTCAAGCTCCTTCGATGATACCTGCTGGTTCAAGAAGAGTATTAGATTCTTGTTTCGTAAGGATTGCAATTACCTCGGGGCACGGCCCAGCCCAGCCTAGCCTTAGATCTGGAGCTAATATAGTTCTTGTAAATTTCCGGTTTTAGGTATTCGTTTATGTTCTTGTTAGATTACGCCCAGTCCTCTCTATCTCTTTTCAAATGTGGCTCAGTGCTTTACCCTATCCTGAATCCGCCGCCCGACCTTGACTTTAAATTTAATTTGCTGTTACTTTTGCTCTTTACTACTGGAGGTCTTTTCATTCTTTTTCATTTGATTTTTTGACGTTCCTTAGTGATGAATCCTAGCGTATGGATTCAGAGGACTGTTCTCGTCTCACTCTCTGTGGTATTTTGACTGATCTTTGCATAGGTAAATTGGGATAGATAGAGAGGAACAAGTAGAGGTCGATTTGGGTTAGAACCAGAACAAATCGAGATAAGATCGAATCA